TAAATAGAAAAGGTCGATATGGATATGAATATCCATATATACAAAGCAATGCTAGAAGCAAAGATTAAATGTTGACCTTGGTGAAATATTTCTCTTGTAGCCTTGCTTAAGTCCATTCGGGTTTTGTTTGCAACAGTTTCATATCGTGACTATAGGTTAAGAGAAGTCTCTTGGAGCTGAAATCTTAGATTTGATGAAAAGTTAAAGTGTTTGATTTTATCAAATTTGAAAACGAATTGTGTGTTTACAAGAAGATAGTGGGAGCATTTTTCGTATTCCTAAAATGACATCCCTATATTTCAATCGTTGAAATAATGGTTGTTAAAGGATTTATTCATAAACGATATGTGATAAGCAACTTGATCTATAGAGGTAGATCTAGAAGATTGCTTAACTCATCCCAATTTACATAGATGAAATCTTGAGAAGATTTCATAAGGAGAAACTGGTTTACTTTTAAGCGGTATGTTGGAAAGGTTCCAAACGTGAAGCAAACGTTAATTCAATAGTAGAAACCTAATACATGAATACTTCACAAGTAGCAAAGAGTTGCAATATGGATCATGATGTTCATAAATGAACTTGGAGTGGTTCCTGATATTGTTGATCACATACAATAGTATTGTGATAACAATAGAGCCATTGCGAAAGCAAAGGAACTAAGGTCTCATCAATGATCCAAACATGTATTAAAGCGGTATAATCTCATCAGAGAGATAATACATAGAAATGACGCAAAGGGAAGAGCAAATTTCCACATTTAATAATATTGCAGATCCACTGACAAAGGGTTGTCGTAGTATAAACATGATTGTCATGTAAACTTATGATATTCGATACATAAGTGATTGGATCTAGTGCAAGTGGGAGTTTGTTAGTATTATGCCCTAGGTCCAATCAACTTTGGACATAAATACTTTTATATGTAATTAATGCAATTAAATGGCAGATCTATTATTTAATTAATAGACAATTAAATAAATAATAGAGTCCGTAGATTCAAATATTTGTAATTTGTTAATCACAATGAGTTGTGATTGTGAGATACAAATTACATCTGATTGAATCTTAAATCATCCGTGGTCGTAAGTAATAACGAGATACGGATATCGTTATTACGGATGGACCATCACGTGTGGCATTTCTTACTTGTGAAGTAAGTAGCTGATCTCACAAGTTAAAGTGTGGTGACACTTAAATGAACACGTGAATATTTTGTTATAGAACAAATTATTGGATACCCGTCGAGAGATTCCACATGGATAACTATCTGAGTGTCGGTGGTTAATCTCTAACGTTCGGTAGTGAAATCGGTCCTTTGACTTGAGGTCATCATGGTACCTTATATGAGGACAGTCATACTTTGACGGTGTTGGATGTTGTTCTGAAAAGGGCCGCTAATACGACATCGTTCGGGTACGTCAAGAATCGTATGAAGGTTGTGATTGATCAATAAATGATTCGTCACTCTTAGATAGTAGGAGATTATGATCTGCGTTTCATTCAATTAAGTCAATGATGGAATCCTTGGCCAAGGTGTACTCATAAGTCGAAAATGAGTTTTCGATTTATATTGACTT